TTGGGGTTAAGAGTTGGGTTGTTGTGTTGAAGTGCTTTTAGCGAATTTGGGAGTTGTGTGAAGAGGAAGAAGTAGAAGAAGATTGAAGCTTGAAGCACTTTTCTTTTTAGTTTTTGCTTTTAGTTCTTTATGTTTCGTAAGTAGGAATTAATGTGATTTCCTGGTTTTTAGCTCTTTATTTTTTTTTGTTAGACTTTAGGTTTAGTTCAATAAGTTGAGATTAGGATGTAATTCTTTCATATTAATCGGTGAGGGTATCTAACACATTTGGCACCATAGATTCCAATTGTTGACAATGATGATGATGAGGAAGCCAAGGAATCGATGCCAGGATTTTGCACTAAATCGGCCTTTACGGACAATCAGGGAGTATCTCGTAACCTTTACTTTTGTTTTTTCTATTCCTTGGATGTGCATGATGTGACATTGGGGATAATGTCATTTTAAGTTTGGGGGTAGGGAAATTTTGAGAATTTGTGTGTTGTTTGTTTGTGTGTTTTTTTTTTTGTTTTAAGTTCTTTGATTGTTAAATGTTTAGTGTGTTTTGTTGTGTTATGTTGTTGTTGCCTAGATGATTGCATAAGTCTATGATGAAACTAAATTGTTAGGATATTATTTTTGGAAAATGTTAAGCATTGCTTCAAGTTATGTTTATTGACTGATTTTGATTGAAGTTTGTTGAGTGGTTCAACCACCATTTTCATTTATTTCGGCATGCTTAGATTCATTTTATGTGGTTAGGTAAAGTTTGATAATTTGGTGGACTATAGAACCTAGTTAAGAAGTTCTTGAGGCGAAATTCTGGATTAGACATTGTTGAGGAAATTTAGGCATATTTCGGAACGTTTGAGCCTTTCCAGCCGACCCATGAATGAATCTTTCCCTAGTAACCCATTCGAGCCTTATGAGATTATCATTGCCTTATTTTCCTTGCAAACAAAAAAATTGTCCAATCCCTATACCCTAAACACTTTATCATACCCTTTAGAGAATATGGACCTAATGTATGACACAAAAGAGCTTTGAAGGTTGTGAATAAGTGATGCAAAAATCTTAAGTTTGGGGGTTGCAAAAATGGCACGAAGAAGGGGCAAGAGACCTCAATGGTGTTGTAAATATTGGTTAATTTCAAAAAAAAAAAAAAAAAAAAGAAGAAGAAAAAATTTTCTTTAGTTCGATTCAAAATCAAAAATAAGAAATGCACAAGTTTGAGGGTTGTAAAATGGTTGAACTTTGATTGGTGGTTGAGAAAAAAGTAGAGATTGATTAGCTCTAGTGTTTGCAGTGAGAAAACCGAGTTCTCTTATTTTGTTTATCCTATCCCTTTCCTTGGAGCCCACTACCCTAGCCTAACGTTACAAGCTTGCAAAGACCTTTTGATCCTTAGTGATGTCTAGTCTACATTAGTGGAGGTAGTTCCATACTTAGGGTTATGGAGCCTGCCACCATTTGATAAACTTTACATTTCTGCATAAAATAATCCGGGAACTCGGAATGTGGACTGAAGTGGGGATCACCTACTCAGGGGACTAATAGAGAAAAATAGTCGATGCAACTTATAACTTCTTGGAGTGTTGAACATTTTCTAGTAATATTTTTCAACAACCTTAGAGACTTGCATAAATTCTAGGCAATTCTTGTGTTGAGTTTGAGTCTAATTTTTATTTGTTCATTTTTAGTTTTGTTGTTTTGTTGTTTTGTGTTTTTGGTTGTTTGTTGCTTTTCTTTCTTTGAGTTTTTATTCCTTTTTGCTCGAGGACGAGCAAATTTAAGTTTGGGGGTATTGATAATCATTTTCACTGTGATTTTGCATTGAATTTGATAAGATTTAGGATACTTTCATACATTTGGGCCATAATTGCTACCTAATTTTATTAATTTGCTTTGCAGGCCTAAACGATGATTTTGAGCATAAATGACAGTTTTGAGCGTAATTGTATCCTTGAGCTTGGAAACTCGAATGACTGAATTTAGAAGCCTTGGAAAGCTAAGAAGAAGAGCTACAACTTTCATGTTTTGGGTTTTTCCTAATTCTAGCTGGACAAGGTGAAAACTTGGCTTGAAGTCGGAAAAGTACGCTGGAACTGAAGAAAAACGTCTTTGGACGTGCTTCCGTATTTCTGCCATAACTTAGCTGTAGACCTTGGATTGTGTGGATTCTTAAACGACCCAAAATATATTTAACGGCTACAATTCATATGTTTAATACTTTTCCAGATTCAGACTCTATCATGCTCAAATTTGCCAGAAAGTTCTCACTCGGCGAAGATGTGAAACCTACATCAGCTGTAAAAATAAAACGACACGTTTTGGCTTGCTAGGGCTTGGTCCTTAAGTGAAAGAGGTATAAATTAAGTGAAAATGAAAGACAAAGAGTCTTGGTTCGTCATTTGGGAGGCAGCTCATGGAAGGAGAAGATTATTGAAGATTTGGGCTTCAAAAGAGAAGATTCTCTCCTTTGCTTGTTTTTCAATGATGAATCTTGATTCAGTTTGTTTTTGTTATTTTATTTCGTTTTTGAGTATGAACTGAGTTGTTTAGCTAGGGTTTGATGTAACCTTGATACAATGATTCAAATTTATATGAATTGATTTACTTTGAGTTTTAATTTCATGATTGAGTGTTTATCTCTTTGCTTAATGACTTTTGGATGCTTGATCACCATTCAAATGTGTGTTGTTCACAATGAGACTGAGAAGTGATTTGTGATTGTGCCTCTTGGGATAAATACCGTAGATTAAGCAAACGCTAGAGATAGGTTTAGCGATCTATGAAATCTAGATAGAATTCCATAAAGCTTAAAAGACTTTGAACTATTAATCTTCATTTTGTTGGGTGCGGAAGCTTAATAGGGATAAGTAGGGAAATGTAGCCTGAGAAGGTATGTTTTACAACTTAGGGAATTCGATTTTCAATCAAGGAATTAGAACTTGGGTAATAGATTCTATGAATTGGGTTAGCGTATCTAGGTGAAATCAACACCCTAGCATTTTTTAGCATTGTTTAAGTAGTTAAGTTGTCGGGTTTAGCTTTAATTTCATTATCATTCATTTATATTTTGTTAATTTGTATTTAGTTGTTAATTTTCCATCAATCCAATTTATTGTTGCTTTAATTAAGAATTAAACTAGAGAAATCGGTACTTAGTAACACTATCCTCGTGGGAACGATACTCTACTTATCACTTTATTAGTTTGTGCGACTAGTATACTTGCTACATTTGCATGTTGTAGGAAACACGCTACCCTAAACCCTGAGTAGAGTATGAAAGTCTTAATACATCGAGGAGTGTATTAAGACTTTGGTGGATCGACAAAGGATTCATCACTCCCGGGGACGGGAGAAATTATCTCACTGAGTAATTCGATAAATGGCAACAACATTGAATCTGTGGCCACAGTGGGATTGAGTTGTAGCTCAGTCCAATCATTTCCAGTCGTTGGTCCAATAACTGAATATCGAGAGATCAAGGATATCCGAAGTTGACACTACTTCTGTACCTCGGCCTTGATAAGATAATGTATGATGAAAAGATCGGATTGCATAGTAACCATATCGTTGATAGGCAAGCTATTTCATTGAATCCGAATCTATCGGGTGGCCATGATGCCTTGCTAGAGGCCAATCTTGGTCTGTATTTAGTGAGACAATTGATTGGTGTCAATCGCAAGACTACTCACTACCGATATGATGAGGAGCTTTCGGGTCACACACATAGAAGACAGATTAAGGATGAATTGGTGAGAAAGGGTATTTTCATCATTTGTGATGAAAGGGTATTTTCGTTATTTATGATGGAAACGATATTTTCGTCTTTTGAGATGAAAGGGCATTTTGGTAATCTCACAATGCAATTAAATTTGCTGAGGTCATTGCCTATATTTAATTTCACATTGAAATTGAAAATTAGTGAGATTATGTATTTAAATATATTCATATATTAAAATATTAATGATATTAACATTAGTGAAGATAATATATATGAAAAAAGAAATTCATATTTGAATTTAAATATATTATTTAATATTAATACTTGAGGATATTAATAAAGATAATATATGAATATGAAATTCATATTTGAATTTGAATAAGATACCATGTGGATTATTACCTTGTTTGGTAATGGGGATTTACTATTCTAGTCATGGAATAAATTTATTCCTAACTAGATTAGGGTTTTAATTTTTGTTGCATATAAAAGGCAACTTAAAATTAAAAAAAATATGAGAACACATTAATTAAAAATCCTAGCCACACACCTCATCCTGTCTCACGTTTTCTCTCTAAGTGGAGAAGAGAATTTTTCAAGAAAAAAATTATGCTATCCTTGATCCTTGCGCGTACCGCTAGCACTTGGAACCGTAAGGCGATCAACGTCTTGTCTTTGTATGGATACCAGAAGTTCACTCTTGGCTTAGAGTGGTAGCGATCCATATTGCAAACAAGGAGCCTCCAAATGAAGGTATAATTCTGAAACGTTACGTTTTAGAATTGTTTTATATTTTAACGTAAAATAGCCATAAAGTTCTTGGGTCTATTGGTTGTCTTTGGGGATTTTTATTTGTTATTCCGCTGCGTAATCCCCACTAGCATTTCCTTGCCCTCTTTGGCAGTTATTCACACAATTTGCTTGTCCAGGTGGGGCAAATGGACTCCCTTCTTGACAATCTCTTGATGAGTGATTACCTGCACAAAATTTACAAGTTAGTGGAGAAGAATCAATTGCATTTATCTTTAGAACAACATCCAATTGATTTTGAATGGCTGAGAGTTGTTCAGCCAATGTGGTATAACTATCTACATCATGCACACCCACGACTCTCCTTGGTAAATTATGTTCCAAAGACTTCAAGTAATTGTTGCTTGCCATTACTTCAATTAAATTGTAAGCTTCCTCTGGTGTTTTATTATTCAAAGCTTCCCCACTTTCAGCATCTATCATAGCTTGTATATTTGGCAGTAATCCTTGGTAAAACGTCTGCACTTGCGACCATATTGGCAACCCATGGTGAGGGCACTTCTATAAGAGATCCTTATACCTTTCCCATGCTTCATACAATGACTTCATGTCTTGTTGGAAGAAATTAGTAATATCACTTGTCATCTTGGTAGACTTGACAAGCTTGGACTAACTCAATCCATGTAGTGATACTTCTAGATGGTAGAGAAATTAACCAAGCTTTAGCTTTATCCTGAAGGGAAAATGGGAAAAGCCTTAGCCTAATTATGTTATCAGATACCCTATTATGTCTAAATGTGTCGCACAGCTCCAAAAAATTGGCAATATGCAGGTTAGGATCACCACTAGACAACCTTGTGAATTGTACTAAATGTTGTATCATTTGAATAATGGTTGGCTTTATTTCGAAATTATTTGCTTGAACTAGGGGTCTCCTAGTGTTAGAATAACAACCCTAAATAGTAGGACTAGAGTAATCCTTCAATACTCTTTGAATAACTATAGCTCTACCAGTTGCATTGCTCTCTAGGATTTCCTCATTCTCAACCTCTTGATTATTCATATTTTGATTTATAATTCCCTTGCCAGCCACTAATTTTTCTAAGTTGGCGTGCCTCTTTTCTTTTCTCAACTGTCTAGCTGTTCTCTCAATCTTTGAATCTGTAGGGACAAGATTAGCACCTCTAGAACGTAAGCTCTCTAGGATCTAAAAACAAGAAAATTGGTACAATACAAAAAAAATAGATAAATAAAACAAAAAATCTAAAGATAAAAGAAGAAACTAAACCTAATATTAAAACTAAATTAATTACAAATAACAAAGTAAACAAAAAGAAAAACAAAAATATCAAATTAGCAACTAAATAGCTCGTAATGATATTGGAAAAAAAATAATAGTTCCCTGGCAACGGTGCCAAAAACTTGACAGGCTATTCGCAAGTGTACAAAATCGTGCAAGTAATAAAGCTCGAGTATCAAGTGTCAAATCCCAAGAGAACTACTACTACCAAGTACCAAACTAACCTGTCTTATTACTATTTGATTAATCAGATTCCTTAAGAAAGAATTTAATGAAAAATTAAATAGACTAAAAACTAAACAAAAGCAGAATTTTATTAATACTTTGGTAAAAAATAAATATGACTAAACCTAGGGCATAGATTTCTCACCAATTTAATCCTATGCATTGACAATTATTGCTAACCTCATTGAACTTATTCTAAAGGCCAAATTCCCTAATATTCCAATAATTTTCTCTCGAATAAGTACTAGATTAACCCTTAATCAACAACCTAGAATATCTCTAAAGTGGATTTAGAAGCTAAGAGATCATTAAGTTTTATGGAATTTACCAGAGCCTCACAGATCGTAGTAACCTATCTCTAGTGTTCGCTTAATTTGTGGTTTTATTACCTTAGACTAATTAGGTTACATCTCTCGATCTCAACCTAACCCATAAAATCATTTAACTCTTGGACCTTAAGAATTGAAAGCATTAAGTGCAATAATAAAACATAGAACAAAACTTAATAAAAATTAATAACAAATAATTCAATGCATATTCATAAAATTGGGCTAAATCTTAACCCTAGAAAAGAATTTAGTTCATACTTTCAGTACTAAAAAAAACCATTGTATTGAATAACATGAGTACAAGAAAGAAATTAGAAAAACTTCTCTAATTAGCGAACCAAAACTCCAAGAATTCTGATCTCCAAAGAGTGGCTGCTCTTCTCTCTTTCCAATCTCCCTAAAAACTAATTAAAAACCTTTATTTATAGTGCTAGGGTTTGTGGATCAAATCAGGAAAAAAATTCTTGCATTTAAAACAAGTAAAATTTGGACCAAGCTCTACATAGCCCATACAAGCCCGCTCTCCGTCACTGCAGCAACTGGAACGATTGTTGCTGCGATCATTCCTTTTGTCTAACGAGTCTGACATCTTCAAAATTTGGTGAAGTCATTAACGCAAACATTATAGCTCTCTGAATAAGCTTTCCAAACTACAAGAATAATCCAACTCCAATTTCTACAGCTCAAGTTATGATCAAAACGTTGAACCCTGTTCATCTTGAAGAAATTCTAGGATTTGAGTCTCATTTTCAAAGCATCACAACTTCCTTGTTTCAACTCCGATTCTTGCACCGTTCATTCATACTCATCACAAATTCCATCGACATCATTCCTCTTCATTTAAATATCATTTATGCCCTAAAAATACTCAAAATATGCCTGTGATCCCATAAAAGGTATTTATGAAATATTAACTCAAATTTCGCAATTTAAACTAATTTTCCCACAAATAATCTAATTGAATTACTAACTAAACATGTATTTTCAAGCTCTTATCAATTGTCTACTGTTTAGGCCTCAAAGGCCTAGTGGAGTTGGATAAAGATTTTGTGATTGAGTCGAGTGAAGAGTGGATACTCATGATACCCTTAGATTGCATTGTTAAGGCTCATCTCAGATTGCATTGTTGAGGCTCATCTTAGCTTTCTTAGTAAAATTGAGTGTTTATTGTGTCCGAGTGCAGACTTAGGCAGAGTGAAGACATAGGCCGAGCCAAGTTGTGTGGAGATGGATGTTAAGAATGAATATGAGAGAGCTGGGACATACGTGATGTTGTCTGATACGGAGTCTATAGGAACCCAAGGGGTTAATGTGGCTTAGCATGCTAGCCAAAAGCTGCAAGACCAAGCCAATTTAGGTGAGGATGAATCAAGTGGGTGTGAAAGTGGAGAAAAGCCGAGTGATTCTTCTAATAAGGAACCTTCAATGAGTGGTGATTCAAGGGACGAACCAAACCGGCCAGGAGGTGACATTCTCATAATCAACATTAGGTCCATACTTGTGAGAGATGATGAATAGAGGCTAAGGTACATGTACAAGATACCTGACTCAATTCTTATTTGCATACCGAGAGCCAACGAGAGGGTCGACTGAGGTGTCCCCGGTTGGGTGAACATGTACGAGCAGCCTTTCTACAATGGATTAAGGTTTCTGTTTCCTAGGTTGGTGCTTGAGGTCTTGGATCACTTCATGATTGCGCCGTCTCAGTTGGTGCCAAATGGATGGATATTGCTACTTTCTTTGGAGATCCTAAGTGTGAGGAACCAAGTGGAGTTTGAGTTGCATGGCTTTCTATACTCATACTACTTGAAAGAGCATGACAAAGAGAAAGATTGGTATCAGATAACATTGAGGCATGACCGTATGCACTTTGTGGCATTTTGAGGTCAAGTGATAAGAAGTAGAAGGATTCGTACTTCTTTATCAAGGGTGATCTGGTGTTTAGGCCAACTGGCCTTGGAGACATACCGTTTTACTAGAAGGCCACGAATGAGTGTCTTATTTTCTTACTTATAGACTTTGATGACTGAATCTCATTTGTTTGTCTTCTGTAGACCTTTCATACATCTAAGCTAGACAGAGTAGTGATCACATGGACATGTAGACTAAGAAGATTCTTGCGATTCCAAAAGACAAATGTGATTGCCAATATTGTTGTCTAAGTCGAGCCTTTGAGAGAGTCATCTTTAGGCAAGTTTAGAGGAGATACAAAGAGGTAGCCCAATCCCTTAGTTGAAGCATGAGTGGCATGTGTTGATGGTTCAGTACTCTAACCAATTATTATACGGTGAGTCTTCTCTGAACCCTCTAACCTATAACCCCAAGAGAGTTGTCCCTTGTAGAGGGCTTGATGAAGGGAGGATACAAGCTTCCACGTTTGAGTGAAGCACTCACGAAGTGCTGAGCCAAGAGAAAGAGAGTTCCTGCCACTAAGAAAGTTATCCGAGTGGAGGAGGCTGTTGCTCTTATTTCATTGACTCAACTTGAATTGGCTAGAGTTAGGTCATCCAAGGTGGTTTTGGTGGAGGAGAGTGAGGTGCTGAACATTTATGTCCCTACGTCAACTTTAGTTTACAATGATGCCTCTACCATGAGGGGCATAACTGATTCATCGCTATTTCCCGAGGGCCAGCACTAGCTCAATAAGATGTGCCTTCTCGGCGGTTGACTAGAGAGTCTCCTGGGCCTTTCAAGTATTTTTCATCCTTTTTTCTCGTATTTGAATTAAGTGTTATCAGTCGATCTAACCAATTGTTTCCTATGTAGGCTTTGTCAAGCAGCTTGTTCCTCAAGCACATTATATCCGATAAGGAGAAGCAAAACTAGGATCTCTTCAACACCAATGCTACTCTTTGAAAGTAGACATCTAAGGCTCAAGAGAAAGGGAATGAGTGAAGAGCCAAATTAAAGGAGGTGATAGATGAGTTGGAAGGTGTCAAGGCCCAGTTGGAAGATACCAAGGCCAAGTTGGAGGAGTTTGAGGGGAAGTGTGTGATGCTGAAAGACTGACTTGACACGATCACTGCTAGAGTTCATTGAAGGTCCTGAGGGTACTCTCACCAAATCGATTGGTGAGGAGACGGTTTAGAGAGATGCTAGGGATAAGGATGAGTTGAGGGTGGATTCGACTCAAGGTGATGATTTGGAGTGTGTTGCTCATTGAGATGTTTTATTTTGTACTTTGTTTTATTTTTTACACTTGTACTTATGAGGTGTTGAGCCCCTTTATATTTCGTATCTAGACTTAGCCGATTTCATTGCGTTTTATGATATGATTTTTTTGATGTTTCTAATGTTTTCACTCTTTCATTCGATGTGTGATGTTGTATTCTTTATTGTTGATGTGTGAGGGGTTTGACCCTTATAGCCCTTGGGGCATTTGTGAGCTTAGATGGTGATGAATTTTATTGTTGATGCGTGAAGGGTTTGACCTTTATAGCTCTTGAGGCATTTGTGAGCTTGGACAGTGACTAAGTATATATACTAAATTATACTTTTATTGAATGGAGAATAAACATAAGTGCCTTGAGGCAGAGTCGGGCTGAGCCGACTGTAGGTGAAAGGGAAATAGATAGGCCCACTTGTCCTCCATTACAATCTATGATAAGGATGAGCCAAGCCTTATCAGAAGTGATAGTGCTTGAGATGAATGTGTTCCAGTTGTTGTTGATGTCTTTGCCTTCGAGAGATTGTACCTTGTGGTAGGGTCGAGTTTGCTAGAATTGACCTCTTTGGTATTTTGGAAGACTTTGGGAAGGACCCAATTAGCAACTTTGAATGTTCTAACTCAAACA